TAAATGGATAGAGGGGAAGGATCTTTAGATAAATATAGAAAAGGCCAAATTAATGGATGAACAAATGACTGGTTCAACCTACCAGGGCATCATGCGGCCGATGCCAGTCCATCTGCTTCGGCTCACCAGGAACCCCACAGTGGGGTCTGTGACAGCATCCCAAGCCCGACCCACAAACAAAATGATGGAGGCATAGAAAGGATCCAGCTGCAATGATATTGGCGCCAAGGAAGAGTGAGTAAAACGCATCCACCAAGGTCAGCGTGTGCTGCTACTGAAAATAAAAACACTGATAATCTGGCTGAGATAACTGGTTGCAAAAACAGGAGCAATATTTTATAATCTTCTAATTGTTTTATGATGTGATTTTGTACAACTTCTCCTTTTTTAAGGAGGCACATGCTAATCACCTGAGCCACATCAAGCAGGTAGATCTGGAGGAAGAAGCCCAGAGCGCTGCCTGTTATCTGGTAAGGGGCTCCCCCGAAAGCATAGCACAGTTTGTTCCACACCGTCAGCCCGCTCTTTCGCTGTTCCTTTGGCTGGAAGAGAAACATCAGATATATAACAGAGCCGACGTGACCTTGGAACGATTTTTGCTTCTGATTTGTAAAAACTCCCTAAGGATTCATGAAGGGACCTCTTTTTTTAAAATCCTCACACTCTGCTTCACGCACACTCAGTCACTACTCTCTCTTTCACTAATGCAGAAATGAATGAGTCAGAGCTGAGGTTACTCTAGTTCATACTCGGCCTACATCATGCATCAGCCGAGCTCAGCCATTGGCTCCTGAAATAGGATGTTGCAGGTTATGTGACATTTTTCTACAGACCAGCCTGAGTGCTACATTCTAATTATCCGAGACTTACCATCTTAAGGAATCTAAAGAGAGGAAAACTACTGATACTTTAAATGTGTAAAATTAAAATACATGCGCCAGAAACCATGTAAAGTTCTAAAGAAAAAGAGTGGAAAATCTCAGGAAGCGATTGGTTAACAGTCTCATAAGGCAAAACATTTAATTATAAATAACCAAGCTTTTTTAAACTGAGTCTAAAGAACAGCCCCATCCATTCAACTCTTAATGATCTAAATGTCTGGTTGTTTCACGTATTGTTTAAATAATTTATTTAAATCACTCAGAACAATTTTTCTCTTTGAAGTCAAGTCTTACGTGTCCGATTAGATCTGGGATAGAGCACAAAAAAATTGGGTGCAGCAAAAATGTGGTAAAGCTTAAAACTCATAAAAGATTGTGTCTCCGTAGCATTTATATGCATTCGGAGAATAAAAAGACTTTTTATGCAGCCTTTTTTGTGTGCTTTTTAACTAAATTCTTTGTTCAGAGATATTTTATTAGGCTGCAGTTAAATGAAGCAAAGAAACCCAGCATGAAATCCACTTTGTTTCCTACTGTTGTGTCATTTGCAGGGGCAAAGCTAGATGGGGGGCCAGGGGTGACCATGGCCACCCTTACCCAATCATTGGCCACCCCTACCATATTTTTCCCTGAAATGGCAGCAGTAATACTATCAATATTCAAATCATTTTCATTTTTCACAGAATAACAATTATTCAATAACAAAAACACTGTGGTTAATTATGCACAGAAATATATTAACATTAAAGATGATAAGTACGGAAAATGCAAGTCAGTCTTCAGTTTAATCATAGATAAATAACTATTCTAATAAAAACTTTATAATAAACTATTTTTGTAGATATTAGTACTTGTAAATATCAATTTTATGCAGGATGATTATTGTTAAATTTAGGTAAGTAATGACAATGGAAAATATGTTCGGCCCAGAACTCAAACCTGAAAGAGTTTTATCAACTATACCTTTTATCTAGATGGGTGTTTAAATATATGTGATTATTTCTTAGCAAAGGTTGTAGGAAAGTATAGTTTGTCTTTATTTAGAAAATATTGATGTTGTGGTTTTTCATTTTCCTGGTGGATCCGTATAGATTGACTCTAAGATTCTGGTGCCGATCTGCTTTCGGCCACCCTTCAGTGTGCATTGGGTTATTGCCTGGCCACCCTTAGAAACATTTTCTAGCTACGCCTCTGGTCATTTGGCCAAATTTGAACAAAGCATAAAAAAAAAAACCTTTGCAAGTCCTGCAAATGAAATCCTTACCTTAACTCACCTGTGTACTAAATAAGAATGAATT